AGGGTCACGTGTTTCTAATCTACAGAAGGGCTGGGCCACCCAGAGATGGGACATCAGAGGATCTCAAAGTCAGAGACCTGAAAGAAAGGCCTTAGAGTTCTTGATGCTAAGAGCAGCGTTTTCCAAACCGATCCAAGGAACTCTTGTCCAGCAATGTGAGAAAAGTGTTTGAAGGTGAGCTACGTGGGAGGAGCTAGCACTGCCTCCCAACTTTGACTGCCCTTCCGCACAAACACGTGTGTGGCTCTGACAAAGCCTACACCTAAATCAAATGACAACAGACCCTGTTAAATTCAGCATTCCTCCAGTTTAATTTAACCGAACAACTCTTTTCTCACCCAAAAGTTATTAACAGTCCATGGAACTGGTATTCCAGGAAATTAACTTTGGGAAATACTGATCATAGAATGTTGATGCTAAAAGGAACTTTAAAGACCGTCTAATCTTGATGTTCCTCAAAATATTCATACTAATAATGAATATTTATTGATCCCAATGTCCTAGTATTTTATCTAACTCACCAAGTCCACAGTAACTCTATGAGGTAAGTACATCATTTTCCCCATTTTACGGATGAGGAAACAGAGGCACTTAGAAGATTAAGTGACTTGGCCAGAGTTGAAAGCTGTTTGGCGCCAGAGGCTGTGCTCTCATCTACGCCACTACACTGCAGAGATCACCTGCAGAAAATAGAAATATCTGTTTTCAGTTTTTCAAAAGCATAACAATAACTTAATTCAGTCTCATAGGATCAGAAGTTCTGATTGGCAGAAGTGTTCTTAATTAACTTTGAAGGGAAAATGATTACTTACTGCTTTCACGGTGATCTATTCGGTGCCTGTTCTGTGCAGTAGCTACACTGCACTGATCAACACACTGTACTTCATGAATAACATCTTTCAGATTCAAACTCTATGAATGGGTGAGCGGACAGAAAAAAATAATACAAGGCATCCATAGCAGGGAAAAAAGGTGGGAACCTTTGATCTCGTCCTATCCTCCCGCGCCGCAGATGAGGAAAATTGAGGCCCAGAGAGGGACAAGGACTTGCCCAAGACACAAAGCTGGTTATGGTCAGGGCCAGGTCAGACCCCCAGATCTCCTGCACCCTACACTCATGCTCTTTCCCCCACCCTAGGCTGTGGCCAGTGTTCTGGCTTTGCAGCCAGCTAGGCCAGGGGTAGGAGGTCAGGCTGGGGCCGGCATGCATGTGAGGTCAGCGGGCAGCAGGCAGCTGAGCCCAGTCCAGCCAAGGCCATTACCAAGGGCTCAGCTTGGTTAGCTGTGCTTTGACTAGATGGAAATAGGCCACAGGGAAAGAAAGTCCAGTAAGAGGGAGGGCCAGACCCCCAACCCTCTGCATCTCCCCAGAGACAGAGCTTCAGCCAGTTTCTGAGCTCCTTGGTGATGCTAAGACGAAAACAGAAGAACTGAGGCTGGGGGTTCCCGTCCCGCCTCTCATTGTCCCTGCTGCTCCAAAATATTCATAATTAGTATTTATATCCAACCACATAATCAATTTTTATGTCTGGCCACCTGGCTTCCTCAGGTGAATTCTATGCCTCCAGCCAGGCTCCAAGGCCATCTCTTAGCTGAGTTGCTCACACATAGGGGCTGCTGAATGAAGAGGTCAACCTTGGTCATACTGAGCCAGAGGGCAGAGGACAGAACACCGAGTTTGGAACTGAGTATCCTGGGTTATAGTCCTGGCTCTGCCATTCACTAGCTGTGTGACCTTGAGCAGGTCACTTTGCCTCTCGGGGCCTCCATTTCCTCATCTGGGCCATGTGATCGCTAAAGACTTTTCTGGCTCTGAGTACCTTTAAGTCTATGGTGGATTCAGGAAGGGTGGCTGGGAGAGGAGGGGGCGGGGACAGCCCCAGTCAGTGCTCTGAGAGGAAGTGGCTAGAATCTCACGGTTGGGGCATGAGTTCTGGCTGGTCAGTCCGTCAGGCACTGTGAGGGAGGGTCCTCAGAGAATCAGCTCTGGAGCGCAGCCCCTGTGCGTGTCGGTGACACACAAGGACAGATGGAATCCCTCACCCAGAGACTCGCCCCTCTGTCCCTCGTAAACCCAAGCCTGATGTGGGTAAGGACCAGGCCGGCGGCGGGCCTGCTGGCAGGCAGACAGGCCTTGCCAAACTCCCAGTTACTTCCCAGAAGTTCCAGGGCCTCTTGGGAGTGGCTCCACCCCGGCTGGCGCCCCTCCAAGCTGGGCACCCACGTCAGCAGGTCCTCGCAGTTCCCTTGCCCTTTCACCCAGTGACAATAGAACAGGCGAAGGGGCGGGGGCACGCTGACCCTGAGCCGGATCCTTGGAGAGGCATCTGATTCCCTGGGCGTCGCACTCCTGTTGCCACTTCTGTCACAGCCAGCTCAGGACAGTGCCCGAGGATGAGTCTTCAAGTCGAACCCTCTCTTCTTGGGGCCTCAGTTTCCCATCCTGGTCACCCTTCCTGGGAGATAAATTAGCTCTGAAGTGCCGGAATGAGCGATGAGTTAGAAAGTCCTGGTGGCCCTGGCCGACTCGCGAGGCCCCTCCAGCCTTCACTACTCTAACTATAAAATGGACATAGCTGTAGTAATGACCTTGTAGGAAGTTTTTGAGGATTAAAGTTAAAAATGTATCTGAAAGATAAGACCATAAACCTCAGCCTGTGGTAGTCAGTGAGGGTGGGCCCTGAGAGGCATCTGACCCCAGGGGTGAGGCATGTCCCCTCCGGGCTGGACTGTGGCTGTGGTGGGGCGTGCGGCTCTGGCCTGATAAGAGCCTTCAGTTTAGCCTGGATGTGCCACTTGCTTTGAAAATGGCTAAACTCAGCAGGAGGTAGGCAGGGCCAGGAGTCGTCACTTCTGGCGGGGAGATGGGGAAAGCAGGAGGGCCCTCAGGATCCAGGCAGGCAGGGGCAGCAGGGGGACGGCGAGAGGGAAGCACTGGGGGCAGAAGGTGGCCAGATGCCTGCTGGGACGTGGGCTGTCTTCAGACCCGCAAGGGCCTCCCTGAAGCTGGGGGCTGTGTGGGCAGCCTGCATGGGCAGTGAGGCTGCCAGCTGCGGGCACTGGGTTTTCCTACAGGATGGCGGACCAGGAGAAGTCACAGCCTATGAACAAGCACGGGGCAAGGTGGCGGTGGTGGTAACTCCTGACGGCAGCTCTGGCCAGCTGCCAGGGTGGAGATTAACAGCTCTAGCTCCATCCCCCAGAGGGTAGACAAGGCCAGAGAGGGGAAGGGATTTGCCTAAGGTCACACAGCCAGCATGTGGTCAAGCTGGAGCTGGGCCCACGCTACCCAATACCTGTCCAGCCCCATCCATAGTGTCATGCCTTCCCCCCAACACCCTGTACTGGTGCTGCCCTGGGGGACAGGGAAGGACAGGATGAGAAGCAGCTCTGGCTCGGGGCCTGCCCAGCTGTCGAGGTGAGTTGTGGTCTGGCTGCTGTGGCCAAGCTGGCAGGCACAATCTGTTCTCACCCTGCCGGGGCGCGGACAGAGATGGCATGGCGGCCCAACAGCTCAGCTGTCCAGGCCCCTGGCAAAGGGGGACAGTCACCAGCTGGATGCTGTGGTGCGGGCCGGGGGAGCCCATTCTAAGGGCAAGCCCACAGCTTCATACACCCCAAGCTGCTGTCCCCAGACCTCCCTGAGCTTTAAGATTCAAATGGCCTTGGGCTGCCAGCTTTGCTGGAACTGAGCTGCTCCCCAGCCCAGGTGCTCTCTTGGAGATGTGAGGGGAACCTGGCACTTCATCGATTATTCATCATAGTGAGCCGTTATTGAGCACGTGATAGGGACCAGGCTCTAGGCTAAGAGCATCGTACACGTTATCTCACTGATTTCTCTCCAAAGCCCTGTGAAGCAGGTGCTACTTATTAGCCCCATTTTACAGATGTAGAAACTAAGGCTGTAAGAGATTTAAAAAAAAAAAAACAGATACACACCATCCATGGCAGAGTCAGGATTTGAGCTCAGATCAGATGCCAAAGCACATGGTATCCTGCCCTGCTATTCACTCATCAGACATATTGTGGGCATACCCCAGGGGCATGGCTGGTAATATGGAGAGGGAAGCTGGCAGGAACATGACAAGGTCCAGCAGCGCCCACCCCACCACCCCAAGTTAGTGTTTAGCTGTGCATATGTAGTTGGGGACCCTGGAGGACAGAGGATGGTGGTAATATTGGTCTTGGAGTTTAAAGCTGAACATTCTCAGTGCCACTCAAAGCTGAGATCACTTCCAGCTGTGGGGAATCCGGGATGGCTGCATGGAAGAAGCATTTGGTTAAGTTTTGATAAGGCTTAGAAAGGAGGAAAAATCAGAAAGACTGCCATCATTATTTTATTATAATAATCCTGTTAATAAAAGTAATAAATATCTTAACAGCTCAGTGAAGGAAGCAGGGCCAGGACCAGTAGACCTTATTTTGCAAATAAGGAAACATGCTCAGAGAGGGGGAATAATTTGCCCAAGGTCACAAAGCCACTAGCGACAGGGCCAGAACTTGTGCCTAGGACTTCTGAATTTCCATCTAGGGTCCTTTCCCCTCCAGGTCTCCAGGAAGAACTGTGGACTTAAAGCCATTTGACGGTTGGCTTAATGGGAGGATTTGCCTCCACCTGGCTCCTGGCTCCGTGAGGGCCAGGTAGGGGGTGTGGGGTATGACAGGGGTTGGGGTTGTCTGGCTGGTGATAGTAACACCTGGAAGGACACCTAGGGCTCCTGCTTTGACAAGGGCAATGCCACCTCCCCATGAAGACAGACCCTACTTTGGGGCCAGGCACAGAGGATGACCCCAGGCCCCAGAGAGGGGGCTGATGAGGACCCTGGAGCACGAATTCATGCACCTGTAACTGTGTGTTGTCTTCTCCTGGGCTAGAAGGATAGAGGCCAGATTCTGCAAGGTCGGGGAGGCGGAGGGGAGAGTAGGGGGAAGGGGCAGGGTTTCTGCAAGGGCAGCCTCACAGCGTGTGCTTTCTCTCCTCTTCCCCTACTTTCCCGCAGGCTATGGCCACGCAGCTCCCAGCACGGATGGCGGCAAGGTGTTCTGCATGTTCTACGCGCTGCTGGGCATCCCGCTCACGCTCGTCATGTTCCAGAGCCTGGGCGAGCGCATCAACACCTTCGTGAAGTACCTGCTGCACCGCGCCAAGAGGGGGCTGGGCATGCGGCGCGCCGACGTGTCCATGGCCAACATGGTGCTCATCGGCTTCTTCTCGTGCATCAGCACGCTGTGCATCGGCGCCGCCGCCTTCTCCTACTACGAGCACTGGACCTTCTTCCAGGCCTACTACTACTGCTTCATCACGCTCACCACCATCGGCTTCGGCGACTACGTGGCGCTGCAGAAGGACCAGGCGCTGCAAACGCAGCCGCAGTACGTGGCCTTCAGCTTCGTCTACATCCTCACCGGCCTCACGGTCATCGGCGCCTTCCTCAACCTCGTGGTGCTGCGCTTCATGACCATGAACGCCGAGGACGAGAAGCGCGACGCCGAGCACCGCGCGCTGCTCACGCGCAACGGGCAGGCGGGCGGGGCCTGCGGCGGCGGCGGCGGGGGTGGCGCGGGCGGCAGCGCGCACACCACGGACACCGCCTCGTCCACGGTGGCGGCCGGCGGCGGCGGCGGCGGCTTCCGCAACGTGTATGCCGAGGTGCTGCACTTCCAGTCCATGTGCTCGTGCCTCTGGTACAAGAGCCGCGAGAAGCTGCAGTACTCCATCCCCATGATCATCCCGCGGGACCTCTCCACGTCCGACACATGCGTGGAGCAGAGCCACTCGTCGCCGGGAGGGGGCGGCCGCTACAGCGACACGCCCTCGCACCGCTGCCTGTGCAGCGGGGCGCAGCGCTCCGCCATCAGCTCGGTGTCCACGGGCCTGCACAGCCTGTCCACCTTCCGCGGCCTCATGAAGCGCAGGAGCTCCGTATGAAGGCCCCGCGGGGCCTGGAGCACCTGGGAGCGCGGGCCGGGGGCTCCTGCCGGGAGGAGCAGCTGGGTCGGGGAGGGAGCCGCCCCAGCCGCCTTCGGCCCGTGGGGCGCCCCCCACACCCCTCACCACCCTCTCCCAACCCCCAGCTCCGACTGTGCCTGCTCGCACCAGCCGGCAGGAGCCTGGGCTCTGAGGACCCCTGGAGCCCCCATCTGCGCCCTGCAAATTCCGAGAAATGTGAAACTTGGGGGGTCGGAGGGAGGGAAGGCAGAAGCTGGGAGCCTCCCATTTCTTTGGAAATCTAAGGAGCTCCTCAGTCCTCAGAGGCCGTGCTGGTACCCAGACCACCCCCCCTCCTCCATCCCGAGGGGACTTCGTGTTCCGTGTACGTTTGCATCTCTATTTATACCTCTGTCCTGCCAGGTCTCCCACCTTCCCTTGGCTCCAAAAGCCAGGGTGTCTTTGTCCACGTTACCCACACTCAGTCCACTCCCCTTCCTCATCCCCGGGTGTCTCCCAACCTCCCACTACCTTCTGTGTTGTTTTGCATGGCTTTGCAGTTATGAAGAAAGTGGAAACCCAGCAGTCCCTAAAGCTAGTCCCCAGAGGGCAGGCAGTCAGAAGCCAGGACAGGCGGCAGGAGGTGCAGAGAGTCAGGGGGAGGCCGAGCCTCCAGTCTGCAGGATGGACCTGCCAGCAGTGAGAGCTGGCTGCCCTCCAGTTGCGTTCTCACAGGGGGCAGGGGGCGTCCAGCTGTTCAGGCACTGCCCTTGGAATCAAACAGAAAACTTCATACTTGCCGTCCTCAGCCACTGCTGATGATGGCCAACTCCTCACTCTGCAGGAGTTTCAGCCTCTGGAAACTCTGTCCTGACTACTCGTTCATTTGATTTTCACAGCGCTCCAGCTAGGTCACCAGGGCCAGAGTTCTCATGCCCATTTTACAGATGACACTGAGATCCAGGCGGGTGAAGTGACTTGCCCAGGGTGACACAGATAGTAAAGGCAAAGGGAAACAAGAACCTGGGCTGCTCATTCCTAGCCTGATTGCTCTTTCTCTCCAACTCCTCTGCCTGCTCTTGAAAGCAGAGCTTCTGCCGGCGCAGCCTGGCGTCTTGGAGCAGCTGGGGCTTGAAGCAGAACCGGAGCCCAGGACTGAGGCAGCGCTGGGGCTCAGCTTCTGTTCCGCTCAGCTACGAGGCAGGGTCTGGATGGGCCCCTGAGGCAAGGCAGGATCCCTCAGTCTCTGGACTGCCTGCTTACAGACAGGGGTGTCCTTGGACCAAAGTAAACAGGGCTGGGCCTCACGAGGAAAAGGCCAGGATGTGGGGCTCTAGAAGATTGGGAATTAGGCAGAGGGGCCTAGAGAGTTGGCAGGCATATCCTACTAGGACACTGTCCCTGGCCCCACGGCCAGTGTTGGTGCCTGTGTTCCAGGTAGCTAGAGACAAGCTAAGGCTGCAGCAAGCAACACCCCTCCCAGGTGAGGGGCTTGGACCTGGTGTGCCCACTGCCTGTCCCACCTGCAACCCAGAAGCCCAGATGGACAGCAGCAGAGGGAGGTGAGGCCCTAGGCTTCACTGTGGGGACCCACAGCTGGAGCTGGTACCGTAACTCAGGACAGCATCAAGGGGTAGGTGAGGGGGCTTTCCTCCCTCACCGTGCTGTTCCCATGCCAGCTCCCTAACACTGCTGAGCAAGGCCAGCCCTGGCATTCAGGGAAGCTGCAGTAGGGGGTCCACGGGCTGATCAGCCTCAGCCCCACCCCAGCCGTAGGCTCTGGCCTCTGAGAACCTTTGGGAGGGAAGAAGTCTGGCCTGGTCTGTGTGTGAGTCCTGTCTCCATGTGGAGGAGCTGGCTGCCCACGTGCCAAGGAGAGCAGGGCCCAGGACCCAGGGGTGCCCTCTGTGTTTATGTTGGGGTGAGGGGCAGTGCTGGCTGCGTCTGTCCTGTGTGTGACCCTGCCCTCGAGGGGTCTTGTCCTGTCAGTCCCGAGGGAGCCACAACCAAAGTTGCAGGGAGCTGGTGGGGAAGGAGGTGAATGGCCCTCGGCAGAGCGTGGCCGACTGCTCGGTCTCCAGCCGGGCCTTTCCTAGGGAACTGGAAGGCCAGTGTTGCTTCCCCTCACCCCCTCCCACTGCGGGCAGCCTTTCTGCTTCCCCAATGCCTTATGCCTGGGCACACTGCCACAGAATATGCAATACGTGTGGGTGACATGCCCCCACGCCCACACCCTCACCCCGGGCAGCTCCTGGACCCCAAAGGCTGCGGCTGCCACAGCCTCCCTTCAGCCCCTCCTGCCTATCTGTCTTCACACTGAGAATGGCGCCTAATAAATGCTGTCTATGGAGACCAGGCTCAGGCTCAGCTGTCTCTGTCATTGTATACCCTTGGTGCTGCCAGGGCGCAGCCATCCCCCCGCCGGGGTCTGCAGACATGCCTAGCTCATGCACCTTAGGCTGACTTGACTCTTTGCTTTGGGGGTCTTAGGGAGAAGCCTGGGTAAAACTGGCTTCTCTTTTGTGATTTCCTCCAAGATCCAGATTTTCTCAATGTCATCCCGGAGCGACTATGAGAACAAGATAGGACCTTAGAAAAGAAATCACCAGGTCCAATCCTCCCCTTGATATGAGTAAAGTGAGGCCCAGAGAGGACAAGTCACTTACCCCGAGTACCTGGCACGCAGCAGTGAGTGCCAGACCCAGGATTAGAAATAGAACTGGGGATTCCTAATCCAGTGCTCCACTTCCTCACACAGCCTGAAAAGTCCAACTGGACACACCCTAGCTAACAGTGACACCTGCCTGGCAGCCAGGATTGGGGATGCCCTTCTTCTCCAGCAGGGGCTCCCAGATTCAGTGGCCTGATTGACACAAAAATGTCCCTTTCAGAGGGAGACTCATCATGAGCACCTTTCTTCAGGGGACACTTTCCTTTGGGTGTGGAGGATAATTCGGCCTGGGACGGGGCCCCAGAGCCCAGGACAGACCCAGGGAACAGGTGCACCCTGCCCAGCTGGTACCAGCCCCCAGAGCCAGCTAGCCAGTGGCTTCCAGCTGTCATTGAGTAGAACCCACAGTAATGCCTTTTACACCACACCCTCATGTCTCTCTCTCTCTACATGCCTATCTACCTACCTACCTTTCTTTCATGAAACAATACTTAACCCCTAGTACAGCCAATGGCTTCTAATATTTTCTGTTCTAGTTCATGTTATAAAATGCTGGTCACAGCCCACTAAATTGATTTCTCTCCCCACTCATTATTGGTTTGCCCCCTGCAGATGGAAATACACTAGAGAAATAAAGGGGGTGGGGGAAGGGGCACTTTCTCTCAGTCCTCCCACCCACCCACATTGGTCAATTGAAAAAGCAACCTATTTATGGGGGTTCAGGGATCAAAGAAAGAAATAGTGGCACCTGCACTTCCCCCAGGAGGCAGGACACAGCCAACTTTCGTGTGACAGTGCTCCTGGCTGCTCCCTACAGCTGCAGGCAGCCTCCTGGGCCATGCCCCTCATTGGCCTGCAGCCCCCAGGGTGGCTGTGGCGGAGCTGGACCTTAGTTCTCGTGGGCTCACCGGCACCTGAGACCCCTTCATCAAAAGCTAGGGCTTCCTGCCCACAGCCCAGCTGCTTCTGTCTTTCTTAGAACGGCTAAGTTCAACAACAGCAGAGATGATGTCATTTCTAAGGTCAGCAGTGACCAGTACAAGGTTGCTCTTACTTTCTTAACCAGTTCCTGCAGGACATTAACCTGCTGATGCTTGGCCTCCTTTCTTCATCACCTGAGCGAGATAATCACAAACAGAACTAGAAGGAATCCCCAAGGGGCTGCGTTCATTACCGTCTTCCAAGGGGCGATCAGGTTCATGGCAGCGGTGAATGGCACCCCAGCCCTTGCCCACAGCTGTTGAGGTCTCAGAATTGCCTGCGGTCCTAGCCTGGGCTCTTTGTCTCCAGATGACGCCATCCCACCCTCCTCACTTCCACACAGCATTGCGGCATCCTGCACTAAAAAATATATGTACAGCCAAACAAAAATAGAAAACCAGCACCACAGAGTGGGGGTGGGGGATAAATATACCAAGATCCCCGCTGATGCGCTGACTCCGTGTGAGCATCAGAGGGAGACAGAAGCTTCCCGGGACCCAAGAGAGAAAGAGACGTGCGACTCTTCCCAAAACGTGTCCCACGCATGGCATGCCTTGTGGACAAAGGGTGCCTTGGTCAAATGAATCTGGGGAAACGCTGCGCACGTCACTCACGCATAGACCTTCAGAAGCCATCTCAGCTTAGTAAAGGTTCTGGAAAGCCCTGCAGCAAGCACAGCGAGCGGTTTACTTTCACTTAAGCCGGCATCGCCCTAACTCGCTCCCAGCCCCAGCCCCTCTGTTCCCGCCACGTCTCCTCACGCCCTGTGTTCCACACAGCATGCTTTGGAAATGCTGATCTATCGAAATCTCATTGCCTGATGAAGAGAGAAGGCTGACCCTTCCCCCTCGATTAATTCTAAAAAGAGTCAGCTTATAAGTCCTTCTATAACTGAAGGCCATGATATTACAAAATACATATTTTATTCTCAATTATGTGTCAGCTCACACCGAGGCTCAGAGAAGCTCCCTTGCCAAGATCAGGCAGAGCTGGGATTTGAGCCCAGGCCAACGGCTCTGAAGCGTACGCTCTCACCCACTTCACTGTGTCCTGTCCCCAGGCTGGTCCGTGTCTTTAGTGAAGATTTGGCAGAAGTCACAGAGCAGCTTAGGACATGTCATCTCCTATTCAGAACCTTGGTGATAGTGGAGGCCATAACCTAAAAATGTCACCCTTCAAAGATGACAGATTCCGATGGAACTAGGAAATCCTCTTCCACTTCAGGTCCCCCCACATGTGGGACCATTTAGCTTCTCCTACAGGCTCAGCATTGCCCCCTAAGCCCAACAGCATCTCCACACCTTATCTCAGGACGCCAGGGGCGGGAGGGCTGTCCAGGCCAGGGAAGGACTTCTTCAGGACAGACCTATTACCAGAAGGGAGAGCCAATGCCCGTGTTGACCATGCCAGCCCCCCTGCCAATGGCATGCCTCGCCACCTCCATCAGCATGATGCTGATGCCCCTGTCACTCCAAAAGCTGGGTTCAGACTATGAGGCTGAGAGATTTCGTTTCCTGAGGGGCCCCTGAAGGGCCCAGTCTATAGGGAAAATGGTCCCCTCCTCTTGCCCAGGCGGCAGTGGTGCTGGAACAACAGCCTCGGGCACTGCCATCACCTCCGTCAAAGATTCAAAGAAACACACCCACACCCACACCCACTCCTCTGGATCTTTGGCCCAGCACCTCTTTTTCAGAGGAAGGGATTTTGGTTCCCAGAGAGGAAGTGAGATGCTCAAGGTCATGAAGCAAGATAATGGTGTGGCCAGGATTAGTATCCAGAGAGCCTAACCCTGCCCCCCGCGCCCCGGAACACCCAGAGTAGGGCCCAGCTGTCTCTGACTCTGATTTCAAATGAAAGCTGCTGAGCTCTGGGGTTGAGTCATTCTGACGCTGGAAATTGTCCACGTCTACATCTGGACAAACACCAGGAGACTCACACCCGTCCCCTCCATCCTGCTGATGCGGGGTCGGTGAGCCGAGGAGTCGAAAGAAAGATTTCTTAGACTCTTAAGATCTGGCAGTAGTGCTCTTTTATTTAGAGAATAGTACAGAATAGCATGGGGACAGGACTCATGGGCAGTCAGAGCTTCTGCTGCTGCTTCTGCTGCCCCCGCTGGCATGGGGACAGGACCCACCGGCAGTCAGAGCTCCTGCTGCTCCTGCTGCTGCCCCGAGTTGAGGGTTAGGGCTAAATTTAAGGCATAGGTATGTGAGTTATCTCTTTACAAGACAAAGAATATGTAAAAAAGTTAAAATGGTATCAGTGCCCGTATGGTCTGGCCATTTGGCGGTCCCACAACTTATAGATAAGAATTAAACCAGATTGAGTAAATGGCAGAAGTCACCGCTTGAATTTTATCCTCGGCTAAAGACAAAGGAGGATTTGGGGGAGGGGGGGGTGTCAGTTACATGAGGTTGCCAGACAGTAACCAACTTAAGTTCTTGCCTCTGACATTGATTAAGAGCTTCTAGAGATAAGACCATCCCCCCTTCTTCCTGGCACAGAGAGGGAGGCATCTTCACAGATAGAGGTTTCCCTTAGAAATGTAAATGTTTCCCAACAAAGGGGCAAACAAATTCCACTCCTTGGAGCCTGAATGTCATCTGTAGTTTTAAAACTAACCAGCCTAAAAATCCTCATCATAAGCCATTTTAAAATTAAGCAGCCTAAAAATCCTCATCACTGCTACAGGGGATGGCCATGTGGCTGGTACCACCCCCTTAGGGCAGGGGCTGTCAGGGAATTAACCTCCACGATCTTCTCTGGCCATGAACTCCTCACGAATCCCCATTAACGGCATTTTCCATTGACGAAGCGCTCTCACTTCGTTCTCTCATTGAATGTTGGACATCTCTGTGACTTAGGGGAGGATTAGCACCCCCATTTTACAGCAGATGGAACTAAAGCTCGAAAGACCCAAGCCCTGAGGGTAGGGACTGTTCCACACTCCTCTCTGTGTCTGAGTGCTGGGCAGACCACCGGGCGTTTCCTTGGCGACTGATGTGCTGGGCCAGGGCTGAGCTCAGCCCCCGTCACTCTGGGCCAGCGAGTGTCCCGCACAGCTCGCCGGGCTGGTTCCCATGGGTTGGAGAGGGCTCAGGTGGACATGGTTCACCCATTAGCAAAAGGAGACAAGGAGTTATGAATACTTTACCCACTTCACCAAACTCTGCCCGGAGCCCTGGCCTTTGGCCCAAGGGCAGCAGAAAATCCAGCCAACACCCCCTGCTCTTCAGCTGGAGGGGCCAGAGTTTCCGGGGAAAAGATCATGGCTTTGACCCAGGCCAGATCCCCCCATCAACGCTCTTCCACAGTTCTTGTTCCCTGAAGAGGGAGCATGTGACCAGCTCATCCCTGACTACGGAATATTCTGGTCTGTGTACTGGATCAGAGCTGCAAGAAAAGCCCACCTCCCTGGGTTGGAGAGGCACTGTCCTTCCAGATGGCACATGTCCAGCTGGGGAGACCAGGAGTGCTGCTGGGGCAGGGAGCCTGGCCTGAGCTGGGTTGTGCTCTGTCCTCACCTTTGTAGTAAAATCTCTCATTCTGCCCTCATTCCAGTCCAGAAAAAAGTCTAAGGAAACCTTGGGCTGCCAGGGGGTACTCTATAGCTAGTGCCAGCTTCTCTCTGAAGGTAAAGGAGACGCCAGGGAGTTAAGGGTATCTTCATTATTGAGCACCTACTGTGTGCACAGACTTTACAAA